ATACATCCTTGTAAAAAAAAAAATAAAAAATAAAACAAAAAAAAAAAGTAAAAATAAACATGAGATCATCTGACATAGGATTTAAATGTGCCAACACACCACTGGTGTTCTTCAAATCAGGGGGAGGAGTGTATACAAGTATTAGTTAAATCAAGTATTGCTGTCATCTAGTGATTGTGAGTTAAATCATTGAAACAGGTTATTAACTAATATACTCTAGTTCAGCAGAAACTAACAAGAAAGGACATTATAAGGACAAATTAAGATAAGGAATCGCATATCAACCAAAATCCTTCCTCTCTTAAGAAATATATATATATTATATAGTATCACACAATAAAATTCAAAATTACCCCCCATGTGAGGTAATTTTAAATTTTGTTGTGTTATACTATATATTGGCACTGTTATAATAAATACATTGAGCTCTTTTGTGGATCAAAATATTTTATATATTACTAAGGTCCACTTGGATTATATACCAAGGGATTTATTACCTGTACTATATATATATATATATATATATATATATATATATACACACACACATCAGACCTGATGATTGTGTTGAGCATAAAACAGTCTGCTGTCTTTCAGTGTTGACTTCAATGTTCACTTTTATATTTACATATGCTCTATCCCTGATATTGAGCACTTTATCCCATAAATATAGCACATATAAAACTATATTTCTATATTTCTTGACATTATATAATTATAATTTCGTTAGACTGTTGACAAGGTACAGTGATTAAACTTTTTATTTAAATTTTTCTCATGTTCATACAATAATTTTCTTTTCAGGACACAAAGTGTGTAAAAGTTTTCATAAAGTTTTATATATCCGAGCACCTTTGACTTCTTTTAGATATTATCAAGGACGATTTTTTATTTTAACTGTAATATTTTTTTTATCTGTATTTTTTTTTAACTGTAATATTTTTTTTTTTCTAACAGTAACATTTTTTTTTTTTTAACTGTAAGATTTTTTTTTTATTTTTAAGCAATTCACCCCAAACAAGGGGTTACAGAGAGTGAGAGTAAGAGTAAAGAGGAATATTTGGGAAAATGATAAAGAGAAGGACAGAGATCAAGGTCAAGTTATCAGAAGATGTCGATTGACATTACATTTGAATATTTGAAGATTATAGCTATCCGGGAAGCAAGTGATAGTAAGGGAGTTCCACTGACAGAATGTGCGAGATAAGCTGTTGGAGTAGAAGAGATGGCTACACTTAGTCGTTTCGACAGTGAAAGGATGGGACTGAGATACCAACTTAGTAGCAGGCTTAAATTCATGGAGTTTGGGAACCAGTGAAAGTAGCTTGTTGGAGCAGTTTCCATGAAAGTACATGTCGAAAAGGCAGAGGGAAGCCACAGCACGTATGTGAGATAGTGACAGGATGCCAGATCAGGACCAACCACGTTGCATATCTGTCTCTAGATTTTGTCTAGGACCTTGAGATGAATAGTGCATGTACCAGACCATATATGGCAGCAGTATTCCATGCAAGGATGAATGGTTGATTTATAGATTTGAAGGATGGACAAAAACCCTAACGCGACACAGAGAACCAACTTTCCTTGCAGTAGATGAAGCTATAGATTTAATCTAGTTGTTCCACTTCAGGTCAGTGGTTAGCATGAGACCAAGTATGCAGAGAGAGGCACATTATATATATATATATATTACTGTGTGTGTGAAGAATGATTAAACAACCAAATTGTAGAGTTCTTTACACATGTATAATTTTACTGATATTATCGTGATGTTCCCCCTCCCCAACCCCATTGATTTCATTTTATCCATTCTGCAGTCTAGACATCATCCTCTCTTATTTCCTTCCATACTTCCTGAACGGAACTGCAGTCCAAGCTGATTTTATACTTGGGGAATATTTTGGGCTTACTTCCTGTACTCAATAAATATGTATTTTTACCTCAGCATTCATTTCCAATAAAACATATGTTGAGAGTTGATAAAAAAAAATTTGTCACCTGATAAACCAACCATTGGACCATGAAAAGAAGAAGAAAAAGAAGAAGAAAAAGAAAAGAATCATGATAGACACAAATGAAGGTTTGGAGGTCTTGAAAATTAAGAGTTTATTTTTTTTTTTTTTTAGAGCTATCATGAAATAAAAATTATTACCTATGGGATTTTAAGTGTTTGATATTCTTTAATATATATATATATATATATATATATATATATATATATATATATATATATAAAGACATATTTTATATTTAACGTTGTTATTTTATAGATACAAGTATTTAAGCAAATGCTCTGTTTATGATAAACAGTATTAAATAACATTTTACGGCCTGAATGTCGAGAAATTTTCATAGAAAAGTTTCGTTCTTTGACATTCAGGCCGGTAAATGTTATTTAATACTGTTTATCTAAACAGAGCATTTGCTTAAATACTTGTATCTATAAAAAACAACGTTAAAACAAAATATGTCTTTAATAAATAAATTGTCGGACCTTGTCCATTTCTTAAATATATATATATATATATTATATATATATATATATATATATAAAGACCAGTGGAAAGCAGCATTTGTAAGTGCTCAATATTAAGAAATAGATTTTATTTTTTGTTTATTATTAAAACTCTAAAAAGGTTCCAAAATTGTATTTATTCAAACAGCAAGTTTAATTACTGTTAAAATTTAAAATTAATTCAAATTGTATAATTATTGTGTAATTAATGTCAACTATGCGAGAAAAAAAATTTATCAAATCATTTTATGTATTATTTTATAAACATTTTAACATACTTTCCAGTCAAATTGATCTGTGAAAGTTTTACACATAGTCACTTATATGATAAATGTATATTGAAATGAATTTTAGTTTAAAAAAGAAAAAAATAAATAAAACCAGGATGTAGCCAATAAAATCTTGTCTATCACACTCACAACACCCAGAACATGATAATAATCAAGATAGTTAAAAATGTTGAAAAGAAAAAAGAAAAAAAAACTCCCTTTGAACACTTTATGAACAAACTTGACTGTATACAACAGAGGTTCTCAACTAGAAGGCAATTCCCTCCTCTCATGGAGGAATTTCAAGGTTTCATGGGTGGAGTGAAAACGTTCTCTTACTTTTTCTTGTTTTTCACGTACAGAATTTTGTTTATTGAATTACAGCATCCTAGCATCCTACTGAACTTTTTGTCTATTGATGTATGCTTCAGTTTATTTATTTAATAATTAGTTATGAATTAAAACAAATTACTGTGCATGTATTCAAGTTTAAAAATCCATCAACATTTTCTATTGCTATTAAATTTGTGAAACTCTTCTATCAAAATAATCCATGTATATGTATGTACTAATTATGGAGAAAAAAAAAAAATGAAAATTTTCAATAATATATACATATTATTTTGAATGCACCTTTTGAGTCGGACAATATTGGAAAGCTGATGGTGAAAAGGGTGTATTGGAAAAAAAAGGTTAAGAACTACTGGTGTAAAAAATGAATATTTAAAAATGAATATTAAAAAAATTAAACCTAACTTGCCAGTTGAATTTAACAAAACATGCTGAAATGATACTTGCTATTTACACACACTGTGTGTGTGTGTGTATATATATATATATATATATAGATAGATAGATATGTCTCATTGAATAATTTAAACAAGTTTTGTCTACTTATTTTCAATTGGATCATTTCATATTCACCGACAAGTTTCTTAGTATCCTTATTAAAGGAAAGGAGAAAATGACAATGATACATACTCATTTCTTTCCAGTACTTTTGACATTAGTACAATGTGTTTTTTCTAAGACAACCCTCACCGGTAGCATGACTAAGTCTCTGTCCAATACCTGAAGATTGCACTGTGCTATTAAACTCCAAGTCATGCTACTGGTGAGGGATAATATGTATATTTATTAATATATACTTAATAGCTTTGTTATATCATTGTTTTATTAACACCAGCATGATGTTATATATATATATATATATATATATATATATATACACACACATGAAAGGGAATGATTACTTTTTGCAAAGATAATCATTATGATGGAGAAATATTTTGGGGCATAGGCTTTATTGATAGAAGTGTCTAAATAAAGATCTGAAGTAAACATAGTTTCCTGTTATTTTAGTCAATCAACCTGGAGACCAGAGATCTACCCACATCAGAAAAAGGGTATTATTAGAGTCAGAATATCCCCAACATGCAACAAGACTTGCCTGATGATTAAAAGTTTTTTTCAATTGTAAACCTTAATAGATTTTCTCATCTGACCTATACAAATGCTATGTCCAAATAACCTTATCATTCACACTTTAACCTGATGAGGTCAAGTCATATTTTATTTTGTCAGTTGGATTTTAAATGTTTTTATAAACCAAGCAAGTAAATATTTTTCAGAGTTGCTAAAATTGAAAACTGACACACAAAGGAAAATATTTTTAGCAGCTATCTACCCTGAGTGATAATGGTTCCTTTAAAGGAATAAGGCATGAACAATTTTTTTTTTTCTCCAAATATTTGCTAAATCTGGTTTAGCACAGATTCAGACCTACACTCAACATCCCCACCAGAATCCAGCAACAAAGTGGTAGAGTTTGGCTTAGATGGCTGGTGAAGGATCAGTTGCTGTGAATAGCTAGCTCAAGTACTGATTCAAGAAAATCTTAAACTTCATGACATGTATCTATCCAATCAGTCTGAATTCAGTTTTTCTTTCTAGACTGGTTTCCAATCAATTTGTTGACTGTTCATTTTCTCAGATTTATCAACATTTAAAGATTATGTAAAGTCAGTAAGTATTTTTAGATTGTAAGACTTTGGGGGAGGGATGAGATAATGATTTAGTGGTAAGTCTTACTAATTAACCCATAGATGGCAGGAGCAGTGGATTCAGACCTTTCCTAAAAGTATTTGCTCATAAGTGAATATAACAAACACAATTGGATTTGTTACTTGGCTCTCCAATTAACAATTCCAAGAAGCTTTCAGTACCTGGCATTTCCATGTGGTTAACCATCTAGGTACTGACCAGGCTCAACATTGCTTAACTTCAGTGATCACACAGGAACAGGTGTTTCAACATTTTATGTAACTGTTGGATGTGCAGATAGTGTAATGATGATCTATGCAGAAATTGTAACATTCAATACCAAGCTACTAATGTTGCATCACCAAGCAAATTTTCACCTATCATTATGAACAGTTGTATTTTTGATAAGGCTTCCTGTTGATCTGTTGAGATTCAAGTTCATACCAGACTTCAAGTGGTACTTATATATATATATATATATATATATACATGAATCATTGCTAAGAGGCTGGAAAATGATCAATTCCTTGTATCATTCCAGAAAGTATTTGACTTGTTCTGCCATGCTCTATTAGGGCAGATAGATTTTTTTTTTTTTTGTTTTTTTAGAAAATCAACTTTGCACTCAATGTGAAAGGTGGGGTTTGATGCAATAAGTACCAATACCAAAAATCAAATTCATAGTTTTTACCAATTTTTGAGTATTTAGTTTGAAAGATCTGGGGAAAAAAGTACAGAAATACCTATTTTCTGCAGGTTTTTGCTTACAAACCTACTTACTATTTCAAAAATAAATCCAAATAAAGTTAATATCTATTGTATTAAATACACTGAATGGAAAATATATTCAAACCAGAATTCTAATTATGAATCATCACAAGCAAAATATGCTATTGTTTTTTTACAGTATTCAAAAAGTAAAAAAAGTGTAAAAAAAAAAAAAAAATATAAAAGATCACAGAAAGGGCTAATCAATGAATAATGTGTTAGATCATAATAAAAACAAAAATAGATAAAACTATATGTAACACCATAATGCTGCTAAGCACAATTTATATGACAAAATATTTTAAATTTGCATTGTTTATTGAAAATCACACTAAAACTACTACATTGTATAATATATTACATCATAATATAGCTAAATTATTCAGTATAATTTCCTTTTGAAGTAAATAAAGATCTTATTTGATGACAAAATGATTTAATAATAATGTGTTTCTGGCATGCATCTTGTCCATATACAATTTGTAAAACTTCAGTAAATTAAAGTTTTATAAGGCTGTGCTATGGAGCTTTTTGGTTTTTGAAAAAAATATTTGGTGTCATTTTCAAAGTGAGTGCAACACCACGGTTCCAGAATTGACCCATCTTAATGCTCTATCTTTACAAGAGACCAAAAATAGAGTATTATTGTCTCTCTCCAACCATGTTATTGTGCTCATTGTATCTGTTATTACCATGAAGATAAAAATGATAATAATATTTATTTATTAGTACATATATATGTAACTATGTTTTGATGTACGACTATAGTTTCGCTGGGTGGTTCCCAGCTCATCGGGCACAGGGTCTATGTTGTTGGAAGTAAACAAATGGCTCTTAAACCTTGTATTTTGTGATCGACATTAAAAAAAAATAAAAATAAAAAAAAAATTTAAAAAAATGATTAAGGAGGGTTAAAACATCAATTTTCTTATTTAACATATTTTTCTAGTATAGAGAAAACCACAGTCTCTTTAAAAGGCTGCAGATCAAGTTTTTACTCTAGAGATTTTTATGCTTTTAAGCACAAACAAGTTAAACCAGATGACAAGTTCCAAGAGTGTTTGTATTTATTAATCAAATGCATAGAAAGGCGAGAAAGAATTCCTAAGTAAATTGTCAAGAAAAAAAAAAAAAAAAAAAGTGATAGCCTGCAGGGTAGACATAAAAAAATGTCAATTCATTACTTAATACTAAATAAATTTTACTTGGAATGGCTCAATTGTTCCAACACTGGTCCATAGCAGCAAGGTTTATTTTTCAATAAATAAATAAAAAAAAAAATAAAATAAAATAAAAAAAATATAAAAAAAGTCAATGAGGCTTTAAAAAAAAATACACACACTATGACAAGTTAAATCTATTGTTACAGTTTTGAATTCAGAGTTATCCTTCTCCTAGACTGGTTGCTGACCATGGCTAGACAGCCCAGTTTGCTATGCTATTTAACCCATTGCTGAAGAGAGAAGATATGGATTCATAACTTTTTCAAAGGTATTTTCACATAAGTGAATATAAACCTAATCACTGGTATAATTTATTTTTAATTAAATAAAAAACCCACCAATTATTTGTCTACCAGCCTAAAGATTAAGAAGTCCTAATGTGCTTGCTGACAAGAATCAAACACTTATGTCAAATGAGATTTACCAATAAGGTCATGGGAAGAGGGAAATATTAAATAAACCCTCTTTAAACTTGACCATGTCTCTCAAACCACCCCTCATTACCCCCTCTGTTAAATTACAAATACTTACACTACCCATCAAAAGTATGAATTTTCATCTCATTTCGTTTCATCTTTTGGAATTGCTATCTGATGAACCAAAGTCCTTTAAAAGGGCTCTGGTGAAATAAATTATTATAATGGAACCTTTTTGTCTGTTTTTCTTTAAAATATTAGCGCTGGATTTATATTGAGCTCTCAGGATTTCGTCCTCCTTGGTACTACCCATATGGATTACCAACTTTTATATATATATATATACACACACCTGCATTATTCCATTAAATATTTTAATCACAAGAAAGTTGGTGAATTCTTCAGTATTGGTCATTTAATTTTTTTTCTACTTTTTGATATTTTGTTTGTAATTGGATCTCCTGATGGAATGTTCATCTTGAATTGACACTTGACAAAACTAGAAACATGCATGTCACTAAAAAGAAATCTGCATTTAACCTTAAGAACGTTTGCCAAAAGCCCAAAACATTTTGAAATTCACAGTCCCAGATTTCACGAGTGTCACACAAACTAATGTAGGCACATTGACCAAATTTGTCAACCATCTAAGATTGCACAAGCTGAGGTGAAAATTTGGCTTTGTAAAACTATTTAACTTGTCCTCACGAAAAAGAGCAGATAAAGAATAAATCTAAAATTTTTATATTACAAAAATTGTTGGTGTTTTAGAAACATTGTTTTTATGTTGTAGTTCAGTTTCCTATGAAAGCAATTTTTATACAACTGTGAATAGACAAGATGCATGAAACTTAATGACTGACTGTTACGTCTGGCTGCTACTTGTGTATTATCATGTGAACTCACTGACTACTTGATATGTTGTCTTTATTTATATGTCACATGTGGATGTCACAGTAGACACAAAATGCATGTGAATATTCAGCAGAACAATGCTTAGATCACTTCTAAACTTGAAGTGTGTAATAATAATTATTATTTTTTTTTTTTTTCAACCATTTCATCCCAAGCAAGGTAATAAAACCACTAAGATGTAAGGGGTTACATTTGTTTGTTTTATGGCATATCAACCTCTATTGGTTATTTAATGCCGACAAGATTTTTATTGCTGGTGATATTTTTTCTTCAAAAATGTATTGCTGATATTAAAACCTATTTTTACACTTTCATGGCGTTTTGACCCCAGTTTGGGGGTTAACTATTTAACCCATAGCTTGGACCCTGACAAGTGCTACCACCCCATGTCAGGGTAGACCTGGGAACACCAGCAATTAAGAGGTGGTTCCACGCTCATCAAAGCCTCCTGATCAGAGGCCTTGCTGTTGGATGTAGTTTATCATCTTACCCAGGACATGGATTTAATTATTTCACACTGAAAAGTTTTATTAAATACATGGCTTGTAAACAATCTTTTAGGTCATTGGTTCCATCCCTCTCATCTAGAATAGAGTTATTTAATGGTATAATTTGTGGTATAGACCAATCTTCAAGTAGACTAGGATAGTCTCTGCTTGTATCTTGAAAAGTCCTCTAGACTAGTCAGGTTATAAAATCATTGATGTTTATGAGCAAAGTCACTACAATCAGTGTTCATAATATCACATGTAACTACAAAATCTGTTACTAATATTTTTACCTGAATGTTGAGCAATATATCTACCAAACTGAAGTAAAGCCTAAATAAATATTTGAACACACACATTATATATATATATATATATATATATATATATATACACACACACTTTTCTCTCAGAAAAGTTGTCCCATTACATCACGCCACAAGGCATATACTGTAAAACATTTTAACTGGATTTCAGGACTTATTCAGAAATGAATTAAATTATTTAAAAAGAATGTTTTCTTTTTTTTCTTTTTAAACACCTATCATGCTCAGCTCATTTAATTTTCATTAAAAATTGAGAAATTCTTTTTTGTATTGCTTAATTGTTTATATTTGCTCTAAGGAACTTGGAGAATTTAAAAGATCCAATTTTTTTTAGTCAAACAGGACAACCTGTCCTGAATTGAAAAATAAAGAAATGCAATAAAAAACTTAAACTGTTATTTTAAGTAGAAAAGTTTTTAATTGCTTTTATGCATAAAATATTTTATGGACATTATTCATTGAAAACATTTTTTCTTAAGACAATGAATTTTTACAAGAATTCTTTTCAGTTTTTTAAAATTTTAACTAGAATAATTTATAAACTTTTAAATCATAAAATTCTGTATTAATTTGTAGCAGTCAAGTGTTATGATTAAATTAAAACTGTATTTACTAATTATAAATGGAAAAGCTCACTACAATTCAATGATCTACAGTATTTTAAAAAAGTTTTTATTTTTGTGTGTATATAAATGTGTCGATTTTTGTAAACATGGACATCCATACATGAAATTATCAGAAAATAAGAGAGGTACCTACAATAAATTTGAAATTTATTTGTAATTTTCTAACATTTTCTCAACAAGCACCTTTGTAAGTAAAACTATAAAGGCAAAGTAACCAAAATTCAATAAAATATTAGATTAAAATAATTTAAATTTTTAAGATTACTGTATACTTAAAAATTATATATAAAAAAAAAAATATTCATGCTGTGTTTCTCAAATAATTTCTTTTGGTTCTATCCCTCTTAAATTTCCCAAACATCAGATTGTCAAAAAAAAAAAAAAAAAAAAAAAATGCTTTGCTGCCATATTTTAAACTAAAAGTAACATTTGTTTCAATTTTCATTAATTACACTTTAAACTGGTTAATTTTCCTCAAATAAGGTTTTACAAAAGTAGATTTTATTTT